AGGAAAGGGGAGTTTCTGAATATATTTATTCATCAATAAATGTATTCAAGACTAGAGGCAGCAGTGCTTTGGGTAAACTAATTGTTCATGTAGCTGTTTAGAAGTTATTTTGAGTGACTGAAAAGGAAAGAAAGATTGACAGTCAAAATAATTGAATATTAAATGAAAGTAATAAGTTAAAAAATGAAGTTAAATAAAATAAACTACATTTGAAGACAAATGCAAAACTCACTTGTTTAAATCCAAAACAAGCATGTAAAAATGTTTTGTTTTTGTTTGTTTTTTTTGTAATTTCTTTTTCCTTAAAAATGTCAATTTCCCTGACAAGCCAGCCAGAATAAGCTATGGACAGATGAGAATAACAATTAAGGTTGCTAAAAGCATCCACAACACACCATTAGGGTGATATCAATGATTAAAAACAAGTGATTTTACTTTTAAGTTTGTTTTTCAAATATTTGTTCAATCAATGGAAAAGATTAAAAATCCAACTTCATTATCACTACGTCAAAGTTAAGATTACTCCCGATTGTCTGGGAGGTTTCTCATTTAAACTTAGTGAATTTCTTAGTGTGTTTAGTCAGCATTTGATATCCAGAAAGGTTTAAATATAATAAAATTTGTTTAAAATACCGGAGAAGCGAAATTTATCACTATTTCTCTATCACATGAAAAGTAGAAACATTTTAGTAATTCTAATGCATCCATTCACAAACATAGTATAAAATTCATAATAGGATTAGGTGGGCAGGAATGATGAGGGTAAGTCAATAATCCAAGTGTAAGAATAGAAACAGTTACTACAATATGAAATCATACAGAAAAAAATAAAATAAAAAGGAATGTTTAAACCAATAGATGCCTTAATTACTTGGGATATGGAAAATATCAAGTTCTCCCTCTCATAACAATAAAGTCCGTTACATTAGAGGGTAGTGCTCATTTCAAAATGATGTTCACATTATCAAGATACAGTTGAAGCATGTAGCTTATTGTATGAAGATAATCTTTTCTGGAGAAAACAACGAGACATGGACTCCAGAAAATAAACAGTAATATATTGAAGTGAAGGAAAAAAAAAAAAAAAAGTCTGAAAAATGTCATGAAGAGCACTTGGGATTTAATTTTTAAACTAGTGTTAGCTTCAATGACAAGGTTTTTTGATATATTTTTTTCAATTACATATAATGTTAATGTCTACATTGAATAGGTAAAATTATTCAACCTGAGAAGCAAATTAACAACTAGAAAAATTACTATTAACATTGAAGGGAATATTTCAATGCAAGGTCTTTTTTTCTTTTTTTTCTTTTTTTTAACTCCTTTACTTTTAGTCAATTTAACTGTAAAGCATGTCACACTACTGTTAAATCATAATTTCTCACTAGAAGAACTGATCTTTAATACATGAAGATTACAGCAATTCACAAATGTTTATACACTTTCATATATAGAGCTTCAGATAAAAATATTTTATATTCAACCAAATAAGAGTGCCATTATCACTAAAACGGAGCATTCAGTGATTCACAGGCTGCAGGTAACAAAAGTTGAAGTATATTATGTAAGCAATCAATTAGAAAAATCTGTAAGAATTTTTTTTTTTTTTTTTTTTTTTTTTTACAAAAGTTTCAGAACTCCCAGGTTTTGGAAGCAATACTAGTATTTAATACCAACTTTAAGTTACTATTCAATGAGCAGCAAGAATATAATATCCATCAGAAACAGAAGAAATAAAAATAAAGAGATCAGCAATGTTGATACTATTGTTGGATACAAAATGAACAATGCATGCATACAATAACATTTTCTTCTCAAAAGCAAGTTATTTAACTTGAAAATACTGATAACTAGTTCACTATGACTGTTTAAAGAGAATATTAAGCATAAAATTTCTACACAAAAAATAAAATTTATAAAAAGGGGAAACTAAATGATCATTTGCCAGCAGAAAAATTTATAGCTGAGTTACCATTTTAAGACTATGTTTGAAAAATATGAAAAAGAATAAATGCAGTCACAACTTTAAAAGTAGACTTAAAATATTAAGCATTCTATTGTATCAGATGTGAAAAGTAGAAAAAAAGAAAAAGTTTAGTAACAGAAATAAAGTTTCTTTTGTAAAAGTCATTAAGATGCAGACTTAATTTCAATATTAATCATTAAAATAATTGACAATTTTTCATGTCATTTGATATGAACTATTTGAAAAATTTGTCTAACCACTTACTGATCAAGAGCAAGAAATGATTCAAACAGCAGTAAATATACTTGAAAGATAAGTTTGACATTTTTAGCATTGTTGTCCATTAATAATATCTTCCTTCAAAGCAAAATATGTATTGAATGTAGAAATCAAGAAATATAAAACTCATAGTTGAATCCATTGGGAAAGATAAAGATCATAAATTAGAAAAAAATTATCATTTAAGTTTACTGGAATGATTAACAATCAAGCAGACAGTGAATATGCTGAAAAATAATTTTGCATACCATTACCAAGATTTTAAAAAAGAAAAAAAAAATGATCTCAAATGAATGGTTTTGTTATTTGAATGGGGCACTAGAATTTAAAAATAAAAACGTTCATTATTAGTGAAATGATTGAAGGACAAAGAAAAGTGAAAGATATCTTGGAACAGAATGAAAATTATTTGTAAGATGGTGATAGCCTTATGGACTAGGTTGTTGAGCAGAGAGAGAGAGAACAAAACCAAGAACAGGTAAACTTAATACAAGTAGTAAGTACTGAAGCCAACAAAACATGTATGTGTGAATGAGTATTTTATTTATTTTAGCTGACACACACTAATTCTATATATATATATATATATATATATATATATATATAGCCAGCTAGCTAAGGCTGGCTGGTTGGCTGGCTGGCTGACCAAGTGAAGACTGCAGAATTACCAATTAACATGAATACATAAAAGTCAGAGTAATATTAAAAAAAAAAAAAAAAAAAAAAAGATAGCTAAAATACAAAGAACTTCATGAGTAATGCACTGTCAAGTACTGGAGGAGAAAGAAGTAGTAAAGCCTAATAACAAAAAAAACAAAAAACTATCAACTTCAAGAGTTAGGAATGACAAGCTTCTGTAAAATATTCAATTGTAATTATCAGGAAGGAAAAATAAAAAGATTTTAAAAAAAAAAAAAAAAAAAAAAATGGAAAAATGTACCAAAGACTAAAGATATAGAAGAATGTGTTGCCAGAATAGGGGGAATGAAATAGAAACAGAAAAACTGCTTATATAAGATATACGAGAAGAGGAGTGTGTGTGTGACTAAACTGAAAACTAGACAGAAAAAAAAAAAAAAAAAAAAAAAAAAAAATTTTGTTTAAGTTTCCTCAAATATTTTTAATCAGCATTTTTTTGCAAGTGAGGAGTCATGTTAAATCAGCCCAGTTAATATCCTCTTCTCAATTTCACAAATAATCAAAGATATTAAAAAATAAACCAAGATTTAAAAAAAAAAAAAAAAAAAAAAAAAAAAGGATTCACTAATACTGTTTATCAAATGATATGAAATGGAAAGGAAAGTGGTTTTTGAAAGCAAAAAACATCAGAATTATTTGATCAACATCTAGATATGTGTGAAAATGAACTAATGTTAGGTTTATTCCAAAAGAACATCACAAAAGGCAATTCTCCCCAGTAATTGTTTTACTTATACACCCTCCTTTTCTTGACAATAGCGTTGGGCGTGAGAAAAAGAAAAAATACCAAAATCTTCTGTTCAGCCTTCAAATCTGCGAATGATAACAACCTAGATTTCACTACAATAGCATACAGTTCAGTGACAGAAACATAGTATGATCTTATTTTAGATACAACATATCAAACATAACAAAGGCAGGCAGGCAGGCAGAGCCACCAGTGTACAGCTGCTTTCTTCCCAAATTGACTCTTGAAGTGAGGCTAGGGTACAGATAGATGGACAGATAGACAGCCAGTCAGTTGGTCAGTCCTGTCTAAACTGGTAGCAGCAGCAGCAGCTGAAGAAGTGTGAATAATCAGTCATCAGTTGGGTTGTTCTCTGTATCCAACACAAGACGACAGACAGTATTGGACTTAAAAACATTTGACACTTACAATTGTGTCTTTCTTTCATAGTAACAGTAGTAGTGGTGGTGATAGTAATAAGGATTTTCTTCATTTTTTTTTTTAAGTAAAGACAAAGAAAAAAAGTGGGGAGATTATATATATATATATATATATATATATATATATAATAAAAATAAAAGGAAAACGGTGACGGGAGGAAGAACCTTTCCTCTCCTCACACAGAGATATTGTAATCTTATAGATCCACTGCAGCATAAAGATCCCACCACTGCCAACTAGTTTTCTTTGGGATGGGGGTATTTTGTTTGTTGTTTTTTTTTTTTTTTTTTCAGTTTTTTTTCCAGGTTTTTTTTTTTGTTCTTTTTTATTTTTAGATTTATTCAAGTTTTTGTTTTATTTTAGGAGAGAATTTAAGCACTTAATTATTATTAAAAAAAAAAAAAAAAAAAAAAAAAAAAAACTGTTTTTTCACTTCTTCTGTATCAATTCCATACCCCAGAAGTGTCTGCCCTACGTTTCACATGAGGAGTCATAGGTGGCACAATTGATTCCAAAAAGTGGGGAGGGAAAGAAAGAAAAAAAAATCTTGACAATTCCGGCTCCATCAGCTGTGAATCAAACTCAGTCTAATTTATCCTTGTATTGGTAGTAGTGGTCATCAGTATCATTATCGTCGTCGTAGTGGTGGTAGTCAGTTATCCAGCTGTTGATGTAGAAATACTATGTGTGAGGAGGAACAACAACCAGTAGTAGAAAGAATTTAGCTGAGAAAATAGCATACAGCTGTCTTCCTGTAGTGGCTGTTGTGACAGCACTAGATGACTTCTCATCTCTTGCTCCACATCCACATCTATGTCTGCGCAGCAGTAGCAGAATTGTTTTGGATTGGAGAAATATTGGAAGTAACCACAGGAGAACTTGGCATACCCACATTGTTATTAACTCCACTTCCTGCAACAGATGATGAAATAAAGATAATATCTTTCTGGACTTCACAAAGTGGCTGAAGGCAGCTTAAAAAAAGTAAATAAAAACAATTCAACTAAAAATAAAATTTATAGGAAGCAAGATTAAATAAGTTTAAACATTAAAATTGAAAACAGTTGAATTATTTTTTAATGAGTTGATAATTATATACTGTAGAAATGACATTTAAAAATAGTCTCTAAAATTGTCTGACTCATTTCTAAATGAAAACAAAAAAAAAATAAATAAATAAATAATGTCATACAATGAAGTGTACACATACAACTAAGAAACATCTATCAAGTTGAATCATTTACTGGTTTATTTATATATAAAAATTTTTTAATGCTTGTTAATCTGTCAATTGATATATTCAAATGACTAGTACTAAGAATGTAGTCCTTATCCAAGAGAAAGTTCTTTTTAAAAATATAAAAAGCACCTAGATTTTATATTATCCACTCACTCCCAAGCTGGAAATTTTAACAATTTTCATATTTTAGAATTGTCGTTCATTTGAATTCTACCATTTTAGGCTTAACATTTAGTGTAATCAAACGACAAAGTGGTTGCCTCAACTGCATGTTATTATTTTGAAAATTTTCATGCTTCAACATTATCTAAATGTTATGAATAACTTTAATTCAGTAAATTTCTGCAGAGCACTTAACTTTATAATTACATGAATCAAGTGCAGTAGAGAGATTCATCTGATTACCCAAGTTCAAGCCAAAAATAAATATTTAAAAGTTTTAATGCAATACTTAACTTGAAAAAGAAAAGGGGGGGGCATAGTATAAGACAAGAGATTGAGAATAATGTTCTTACAAACATTTTTATATTGTTAATCTTAACTGCAAACATTAAGGTCTATAACTTGGATCAATTATGCAAAACAATGAGACTTGTTAAAGCCAATAAAGAAATTGCAAAGCAAAAAAATATTTTTCTTGAGTGGGCTTTAAAAACAATTTGGTCGTCAATGCATGACCAAATATTCAGTAAAGTAAATGTGTTATGAAATTGCTCACAACCATTATGTTTACAAAGGTTGGTTTAATTTGATCAAACTTAAAATTACCTAAATTATCTATACTAACCATGCTGATCAGTGCATTTAGCAAATTTGTACTACTTCAGTCTTCTAGTAATATCTCCTCCATTTCAATCATACTTTTTCATATGAACACTCACCTCTAAAAAGAGATGAAAGTACTGACTCCATTCCATGTCTATGTGCAAGGGGATACTGAAAAATTGTCCACCCAAGAATCCCTTAAAAAAGGCAGGGGCGGGGTCTTAACTGATGTCTGGATTGAACTGAGAATGTTTTAAGTAATACAACAATGATTTACAATTCTTTTTTAAAACATACTTTGCCAGATTAGTGAAAAGGATAAAAATAAAATTAAAAAATTAGTTTATTGCATAAAATGCAATAAGACTTAAGATTATTTTTCATTTATTCCTAATTCCTCTGGAAGATTACAATAATTTATTAAGGATAGATATATTTAATGATAAAATTAAGACTAGTGACTCACTTATTGTTTAGCAATAAAAAAAAAAAAAAAAAAATTCTTTAACTTTACACCACTTAATTTAGAAAATTTTAACAGTGAACCTTTCAAATACTAAGAACTTTAATATTTTTCACTGCCAATTGAAACATTTCTTTAATAAAACTGTTTACCAACTTTAAAAAAAAAAAAAAAAACATGCAGATGGGAATACAGAGTTAATCCTTGCTGTTCTATCCGATATCTTAAAAGCAAACACTAACTGAAAGGAAAAAAAAAAATTAACAAGCATTTTGCTGTTGAGTAATGATTAGCAAGTTTGCCTCATGGTTACTGCAGTATCTACTTAGGTGCCCAAAGCATTTAAACTTGTGATAGTATTTGCTAAGATCTGCTTAGCCTATCAGAATAATTTGTCTCCTTCCCCAAATTTTTTGAGGGGGGAGGGAGCTTAAATACTTAGCCTGTAGCTAGATTCTCAATGCTCAAGTGAAATGAAATCAAAATAAATAAATAAACAGAAAACAAGACTTTGGTGAAAAATTCTAGAGAATGCTTTATTACTTATGGTACTTTGATTTTAAATGTTCAATTTTTTATTTTTTTTTAAATTGAATACTTTCAAGAAGTCATGGAATTGTTTTATTCCTTCAAGCAACAAGAATTGAATTTCAAACAATTTTACATTTATATTTTCATTTTACTTTTATAAAATAAAGAGGAAATTCTGTAGAGTTAAGAAAACAATATTTACAAAGATTAATAAAATTAAAATAAAGTTGATTAAAAAAAAAAAAAAAAAAAAATATCTTATGAATACTGTTAAACTTACCATGTAAACAGATTAGTACATGAAAATAAAGAAAATTATAAGTTTGTACATTTCTACACCTGCTGCACACTAGTCTATTTGGATAATTTCTGAGAAAACTATTTAAAAATAAGAGATTGGACAGATATCTAAGATCTGGGATCAGTTTATTTCGTATCAAATTTGTAAATAAATAAATTTAAAAAAATTATAGTCAGCATAATAGTTAAGAAATATCCAATAAGATGCTGCTAGAAAGAATAGAAATTCCATATTCAATGCTTCCCACCTCCTATTTGTGATGAGCTGCTGATAGGCGTAGGAGATGTATGACCAGACATAGAAGACATTCTGCCTTGTTCTTTAACAATAGGATCTGTAAAAGAAGAGAATTTATTTTTAAAAACTGAACTATTAAGCTATTGTTTGTAATAATATCAAAGGTTATCTTTAAACAAACATTTCAGTTATTTAATTTCAGGTTTATCTTCACATGCACACATACTATATATATATATATATATATATTTGGTTGGATAGATGTGAGTTTGTGACCCTGGGTTTCATATATATATATATATATATATATATATATATATATTTTATGGTGTGCTATTTTTATGGGATAAAGTGCTCAATATCAGAGAACATATATATTTTATATATGCACTGATACAAAGTGCCAAAAGCTAGGGAATCAATCAAAATTAAAGAAATAAAATAAAACCGGTTATAATTCATTTAAAATTTCAAATGAAATGTTATAAAAATGGGAACAGAGTAATGATCTTACAGAAGTATGGGTGTTCCATGGCTTCTCTTGCTGTTAACCTCTCTTGGTGATCATATCGTAGAAGTTTGTCCAAGAAATCTAATGCTTCAGGACTAACCAAATGTTGATTTTCACTGTGAACAAATCTTTCCCATCGCTTTTTTGAATGCCTGTATAATGAGAAAAATTAAATTTGAAAAAAAAAAAAAAAAAAAAATTTAGCTGCTGATTACACAAGTAAATTAGAAATCACTTTGTACATATGGGTTTATATTTTTATATTGAGAAATAGTTATACTAGAAAATTACAATTTTTCTGCATGATTGTGCAATGTCAGATAACAAGCATTTACTTACAAAAAAAAAAAAAAAAAAAGTCTGGGGGGATGATTATAGACAGGTAAAAACATTCGAGTTTTAATATTTTATCAACAATTCCAAATTTGACCAATTAACCAGAAAAAATAGTTATTTTGACATTCACTTCAATTTGAAGAAATGTTAAAAGTGAGTTAGAATATATAGCTTTGACATAAATACACCATCTTATTAATGTAATGCAAAATAATTAATCTGAAAAACCAAGTGCAAAATTGAATAACAGATGGAGTGAGATGAAAATAAAAATAAAAAAAAATCTTGTACACAGCTTAGTGTCTAAAAGTTCAAATCTAACATTCATTAACACAAAGATTTTAGTACTATATTTCTATGCAGGCCAAATAAAATAATGTTGAGAAAAAAATTCAAGCAACTTAAGTGTTTATTCAAGAAAAGCTGAAGTAAATTTTTCAAGAGAAGATATCTTTAAAATTCAAATGTAAAAACTAATGTATATTTTTTGGCTGGAATTTAAAAATAAAAACTGCAAAAAATTCCTGGAACAAAGCATAAGAATGATGTTTTAAAACATCTAATAAAATTATATTGAGACTGCGCCACCTTTGAAATTGTACCCAGTTGTGAATGAAATATTGTTTGCTTGAATTTTAAAATACCTTAAGGAGGAAAAAAAAAATGTTGCTCGTGTATTTACGTAACATTAATATGCAAAACCTAATAAAGTAAAATGTATCTTATAAGAGTAATATGGCAAAAGGTAATTAAAAGGGATCATTTTTTTTCTAAAACCAAAATGCATTGAAAATTTTAAAATATATATATATATATATATATATATATATATATATATATATATATATATACACACACACACACACACACACACACGGGTGGATCAATAATCCCTTAGTTATTAGCAGAATTTTTATCAAATTTTCACTGTATAATTTTACATTTATGCGGTTAAGATTCATCACTGAATGAAGTTTATTTAACAAGGAGGGCGATTATGTTGGAAAGCATATATCTGTAAAATAAATGCTTTCTTGCCATTCGGCTGTAGGCTTATTACTGAAAAAAAAAATTCAATGAATGCATTATTTTTTCAGAGAGAGCACTAAATGATTAGTCTTAGATGATATACAAGTAAAAATTGGTTATGTTTTTAATTTATAATTAAACCAATAAAGTTTCATTTAGAAAAATCAGTGATTGATATAGGCATACACATTACAGAGTGTATGATTTCCTTTAAGATTACATTATTGCTTTTTATTAATAGCCTTCAAAGAGAAAATAGTAGGAAAAATAATGTAAAGCAATATTTGAGTCTTTCACTTAAAGTAATTGTATTGATATATTTAAGCTCAGAAAAAATGTTAAATCCTATCAAAGTACCACTAATTTAGGCATTATAGGAAAGTAATTAGAATAATTTTAATTTACTGTAAATATAAAATGACAAAATAAAAAAATAATAGTCTATTCTAATCTGCCAATAAGAATAACAAGTGATGAGGCAGAAGCTCACAAAGCCATGCAAATACAAAAACATCAGACAAAAATTTGTGTAAACTTGGAGATTAAAGCTATTTGAAAAGGGAAGCTGTGCTAATGCAGGAAACTTTACAAAGTATGAGAACTAAAATTAAATACAAGTATACCACTGAACCACATCAAAACATTAGTGGTCAAAAGTTGATTGCCATTCCAAGTTAAGTTGTGCATAATATTTTGACTAATACTAAGAGAAAGATTCTTGGGAAAAATGCTTATATATTAAATATATATAAAAGTTTCCTGTGTGTGTGTGTGTGTGTGTGTGTGTGTATATATATATATACATGTGTGTGCTGAAAACTTGTGCACACCAAATATAAGGTCTTCTTCACTGATGATTTGATGTCATAATTTGATAGGCTCAAAAGAACAAAGTGTGAATATAAGAACATTTAAACTTGTTAATACTTTTGTTAACTTTATATTAAGTGTTAAAAATTGTAAATTTGAAAACTCAGCTATCAGATATATAATGCTAAAACAATTTAATATACAAAAAGTGTTACAAACCATATCTTAAAATAAATATTGATAATAGTATTCATTCAAACTAGCATATACCCATTTAACTTTAAGTAACATCTTCACTCATGCAAATATTCACATAAAAAAATAAAATAAAAAATGATTCAGTGAAATATGAAACATTTAATTCCATAATAAGCAAAACTCAGAGACAGTTTCTATTTGTAAGATAATTTCCCCTAAATCTTAATTGAAAAATTGTAAAAAAAAATTATTTCACTTTCTAAAATATATTTTAGAAAGTGAAATAATTTTTTTTTTGTCATATGAAGATATTAAAATGGGTGTTAATGATCACCAAGAGCCATGTTCAAAGCTAACAGGATCAAAAGCACAACTTAAATTTCTAACACATTTCAAGACTTTCAATTTTAGAAGTTACTTTAACTTTTTACAAGTTAAACCAAGTCATAAACAATTTGCATTAAATTATCTTGACTAATATTTTTGAGATGAAAATTCTGATCTGTTATAAGAACAAGAAAATCTTGCATTATATACTATTTAACTTGGTACTGAAAATTTTTTCATTTAAATTTAACAAAAAAAAAAAAAAAATATCAATAATGTATAAACTAAAATCTACCATCATCTGGCAAATTATCACCTAACATATAAAAAAAAATGCCAGGTTGTAAGAAACAGTTCTTTCTCTATTTTGAGATTTATCAGCATGTTAAATATTTGTAAAATATGTATACATTACAAATATTAAAATATCTAACTCTAAAAATGAAATTAAAAATCATTTCCTTTATATTATAGAAAGGAGGAGTAAAACAAACTTAAGGAAAAAATCTTAAGGATAGCAGAAAACAATTTATAAAAACTTCTTGCAAGTCAAACCAAAACACAGCTTAAGTTGTACAAAGGGATGCTAAAAAGTTCTCATCCTAACACACTATCCAAACAGAATTTTTTTTGGAAACCCTTCTTGGTCAACCCCCACATCTTCATAGACGTCTTCAGTAACAGATGTAAGACAAAGAAAAAATGAAAAGGACACAAAACAAAGTCAGATATTTTTTTTCATATTAATTTTAGTTGCTGTTTATTAAAACTACTCAGACTATATATTATGAGGGCATATTGAAAAGTTTTTCCCTGACCAAGAGGAAAAAAAAAAAGAAGAAAAGATAGGTTGAAAAAATTTCAGTATCCCCTCATAGTAAACAGATTGGAAAAAGAATATACTCTTGATGAGATAAACTCATTTCTTTTGATTTTGAGAGAGAGAAGAACCCGTTTACATAGAATTTAAGGTTACATCCAGCTATTTCAATTGTAAAATTAGATGATGTGGCCAATCTAGTAATGCAGTTAAATTCATGAAGTCTAAATACTATAGAGGTAAGTTAATCAGTACAATTACCATAAAATTATTTATAGAAAAAAAAAAAAAAAAAAAAAATGTCAAAAGCACAGGAAAGCTACATTGCAATGAGATGTCAGGTCAGGATAAATAACATTGCAGGTTTTTCTTTGGATTTTTGTCAAGAATCTCTAAAAACATAGAAGCTCTAAACCAGATGTGGCAGCAATATTCAATGCACAGACAAATGGTAGACTTACAAATGTTTAAAACAGATTCTGACAAGAAAAATCGTCTAGCACAACACGGGGAACCAACATTCACAGCAGAAAACCTAGCAATTGATTCAATATAATCTTTCCACTTCATGTCATAAGAAAATGTTAGCTAGAGAAGACACAAGGAGTTACTCTCCCAGAAGTTAGCATCAGACATGCTGATGGAAGGCAAAAATGGTTCTCTCAGACAATTAAAAAGAGAGCAGTTTCATTTTGGAGGTATTAAAATTAACAAGCCATTCCTTGATCTACTTAGCAACAAATTGTAGGTCCTTTTTGAGATCAGCTGCCAATTTGACCTTATCAAATTGATCAGACTTACTAAAACAGGAGTAGCTGTGTCAATAGCATAGAGTTCGGAACTGATAACATTAGAAAGGTCGTTAATAAAAATAAAAAAAAAATTAAGAACCACATAGGTCCAAAGATAAGAGCCTTTGGGGACACCTGCATTAATGCAAAAAGATTTAGAAAAGTGGCCATTCAAGACAATTTTCATTTCACAATGTGATAAAATTGAATCAGTTCAAAATTTCTTCCAGAAATGCTATAACTTTTCCACTTGAGACCAACATGCCAAACCCTGTCAAATGCCTTTGAGATATCTAAAGCAACAGCCAAAGCTTTACCATTCTTATCTAAAGAATGAGTGACTTTCAGCATTGGCCATTAATACACCAACAAAAGCCATATTGCTTATCTGAAAGAAGATTGAAGTGAGATTCTTAACCAATTCAGAATTGATTAGAACTGCTAGTACTTTGCCAAATAAAAGGTAGAAGACTAATAGGCTAATAGAAGGAGCAGATGATCCACCCAAATTCTTAACTACAAAATCAGATTTCTAACAAAGAGGAACGCAAGAAGCAGCAAGGCATTTATTGCAGTTTAGAAATAACAGGAGCCAGTTCAGCGGAACATTTAAGAAATATTGCAAGAATAGCATCAAGTCCACATGCTTTGTAGAAATCCAATTTAGAGATGATAGCAGAAACCATAACTCAATAGAGACTCAATTCTAAGTGAAAAGCCAAACAAAGATACTCCAGATGTGTCAAAAATAGAATTTGAAAAGAATTTACAAACAAAATATTCTACTTTATCAGCTGAAGATGTTAACACCTCAAATTAACTAACTGAATAATAAAAATTC